TCATTACTCATTAAATTAATTGAAGAGGACCTTATATGAGATAAGGGTTAATTATTGACCGTTTTTTCATCAAAATTTTTATTTGGTTCATATAAAACATCTTTACAACGAATATCACTTCCAAACACTTACCGCATGAAATTCGGTTCGATTTACGTTTATAAATGAAGCATGGAGCCGAAAAAGGGCGTATAAACGATTTGAGAAATTATACAGGAGAGCATAAAAACATCATAAAACTTTAAAATTATATATTTTTGCTAACTTTTTGAAATATATCCTCAGATATAATCCATAGCTAGCCCTCTGAAAAGTTTCAGTAAAAAATCCAAATCACAACTTGTAAAAATCAACAAATTTAAAATGGAATAAGGGTATGTACCATATATATGTATGTACTTGTTGAATATGTTCAGAAATAAATGATTTTTCATGCACTTATTATTAACTAAATTGGATAAAACTTGGACTACATAAACATAAGAGACCAGAGTATAACCTTTCCCAAATTTTTGAGTTTTAGGGCTGGACAATATCAACTATAGTTATTAGTACATATTACAATAATGCCTTTTAAGGACGAAAAACTTCTTAACCTAAAATAACTAAAAACTCAAAAATTGCCTTGTTAATACATATATTCCAATAATTATGGATATATGCCCTATTGAAATGATTTGTATTATTTTACTAAAAGTTGGTTTACTTGAGATAGCCTCTGTGTCCCATTCTGAATTTGTTATATATTGTTGAGTACACTATAAGCAATTTTTTGAAATTGCCCTTATATAAAATTTGATAACTGTTCACGCATTTTTAAGTCAGCAAAGATCGTTAAAGTAATTTTCTAATGTACCGATCGTCAATACTTTTGGTAGAGAGATTTTAACTCGTATAAAACATATGTGTGTCGAATTTCTTCGCTTTTCTGGTACTTTTAAGCCAGTAATAAGCTTTAAAGTAATTTTCTGAAGTGGAGCTTATATGGTGGTCAATCATATGTAGATTCTAAAAAAAGTCAGTAAAGAGGTTCTGGCTCGCAAGAAACTTACTTATGTCGAATTTCATCTCTATACTCGTACTTTTAAGGCAGTAATGAGCATGAAATTAATTTTCTGAAGGGGATCTTATAGGGGGGTAAGGTCAATTATGGACCGATCAACATAAAATTTGGTTAAGAGATTTTGCTTCGCAAGGAACTTACTTGCGTCGAATTTCAGTACTTTACTCGAATTTTTAAGCCAGCAATGAGCGTTAAAGTCATTTTCGGAAGGGGACCTTATATGGTGGGTAGGATAAATTATGGGCTGATACATAAAGTTTGGTAGAGAGTTTTTTGCTTCATTGAAACTAATGTGTTTCGAATTTAATTACTATACTCGTATTTTTAAGCCAGTAATGAGCGTTAAAGTCATTTTCTGAAGGGGAACTTATATGGGGGGTAGGGTCAATTATGAACCGATCACCATAAACCTTGGTAGGGAGATTTTGAATCATATAGGGAGATTTTGGATCATATGAAACTTATTTATGTCGAATTGCATCGCTATACTTGTAAATACATGCCCACTTGTATGGGGGCTATCCGAAATCGTGAACCAAACAAACCAAACAAACCTTGCCTATAGAATATTTGTGGAAAATTTCAATCCTATAGCTCGTTCCTTTCGGAATCTATCGTGCATTCAACAGACAGACGGATGGGCAAACATGGCTAGATCGTCTTAGAATTTCATAAGGACCCAGAATATATGTATATACTTTTGTGGGTCTATGACCAATATTTCGATGTGTTACAAACGGAATGACAAAATCAATATACCCCCATATTTTTTGATGGTGGGTATAAAAAATCAAAATAGAATAGTAGACTAGACATTTTTTTCGTGAATTAAAAAACTAATTGAACCAATTAAAAATGTTATCAATATTATAAATTTGGGTTTTAAACAACGATATAAATACGACAAATTAAAGAAGGAATAAACGAATAAAGGACCATATTGAAACTGAGAACGATTTAACAAAATTAATGGGTCTTGTGCTTCTCGAAATTCGTACATATTTACATATAAAATAACAATAAAATACTTGTTAATTTTATGTTTAATAACAAGCAAATATCAGTTTATATCAACATATATGTAGATATTTTGTTGTAACTATATGAATTTGAACTGGATAATAAATATTAAAGTGTACATTAACAAATTTATTCTTATCATCTACACCATAATCACAGATTAAACATCTGATATAAAATTTGTTTGAAACACACAAGTAAAAATGCATAAATATCACTAAGAATTTATTAATGTATATTTGTGCATGTGTTATGTATGTAATTATACTTTAAAAGCAAAATTTGTAAAAAAAATACATACATACATATTTTGTTACTACTTAAATTCATTCATTCACTCAACATCATCATATAACTAATGCCGTGATACTTGTCAACACTTTGTTGCAAATGACAAAGTACCCAAACAGAAGAAAAAGCATAACTCCCTTCAATTCCATCCTACATCATCATTGAGATAATCAACGTCATCATTAACAAGCATAAAACATATTTCGTCTTTTTTTTCGTTTGACAAATGTTCAAATAATTTTTAAATAGACCAAACAAGGGCAAAAAGGAGACTCAATAAAAACAAATAGAATAATCAAGTGACGACGACGATGACGACAACCCCTTGTAATTTGACAACTCAACCTCTATGATTATTATTGTATTTTAATTTACTAGAAATATTGTTTTTTTGTTTCGTTTCTATTGTATGAAGTTATTTAGATTTCACTTTGGTTTTCTGCATGTGTGGCAGAATCTTATTGGTGTCTACCCTAAGTCGCACAGTGTTTTGAAAGGGTATTTTTTGAAATTTTAAACATAACTCATATTTCTATCTGCACCTTAAATTTGGAAGGGCTGTTAGAGCAAGCCCTGACAAGGACACCAAAATACCTAAGACGGTACCCACAGCATAATTAGCTACTATATGTAGGTAATGCTGGCAAGTGGAATACTGGAACGAGCTGGTAGTCACTAACTCGCCAAGGAACAGAACTCCAAGGTTAGGCTTTTCTAGAAGATAGGTTTTTTCACCTCAACATTGAGAAGGTGCAGTTTGGAAGGGTTGTTACAGCAAGGTCCGGCAAGGACCTCAAGATACTTAACACGGTACCCAAACATAATTAGCTACTACGAGTAACGCTGGCAAGTCTTGCCAAGAAGATAGTTTTTTCGCCTCAAAATTCAAAAAGTGTAAATTGGAAGGGCTGTTACAGCAAGCCCATCATTAGCTACTATAGCTAACGTTGAGTAGTCGAATCCTAAAAACTAGCTGGTAGTTACAAACTTGCCAGGAACAGTGCAGCAGTCATTTCCAATATTAAGAATGTTGCCATCCTGATAAGCTGGTAGTTACGAACTTGCCAGGGACAGTGCAGCAATCATTTCCAATATTAAGAATGTACCCATCCTGAGTAGTCGAATCCTAAAAACTAGCTGGTAGTTACAAACTTGCCAGGGACAGTGCAGCAGTCATTTCCAATATTAAGAATGTTCCCATCCTGATAAGAAATGATGATAACGTTAATAATTCCCACTGCTTCAGTAAACACTTCGGGCTATCCGGAGGAGACAAATCCAAAGATCAAGGAGGTGATTACTAACTCGCGAGAAGACTGTTTCATGGATGACCATGATTTAAGTTATTCAAATAAACCACCGGCTCCTAACTAACTGGTTACTAAAATAGACATAGGTTAGATACATAGCTTTAATCCAAGAACCTTAGACGATTCGAAACAAGGTTTCTGGATTAAATCTCATTAATTTTTAACTTTTCTATGCTGATACAGCATCTCGCCCGAGAACAAGAACTTATGTTTTCTACTCTCAACAGAATTCAAACTTGTTCTACAAAACTGTAGGTTTTGATAGTTATCCAAACCACTGTTCCAAATTATAGAAAAAATAAATATTTATGTATTGCAATTTTCATTGAGTTACAAATGTACATGGTGTACAAAACACCATCTATTAGTACATCTGTTTTGAAAACAAAACAAATCCTAAAAATCACAAAAACAAGTTGTAAATGAAAAGAATTTCAATTCACTTCAATGTAACCACCCATCCACAAATGTCACTGTAATCGAACACCACAAAAGCCAACCAAACTAACAACTAGACAGACATCCAGTCAAAACCATTTTACTCCAGCACTTCCACAAGGGGTCGATCACACAATTCATGAATGAAGAATGAAAAAAATGTAGGAAAGAGTACACTGACTGACTGACTGAACTGTAACAATACTACAAGTACCTATTTAAGATTTTAATCTGACAATCTGATAGAATGCTTATTTTGTCATCGTCATCCCAAAAGTATGTTTGAATTTTCCCGATAATAAAACTATAAATTAATTAGCGCTGCGGGACTTTTACTTTTGGGAGAAAGACAACAACAGTAAAATGTATAGGACTTAAATAAAAAGCACATCTCTACCTTTTATCCTTCAAAGCACAAGCGAAATAAAAAGCCAACAGGGATTATTAGTACAAAGAAATCATCCCTTAAGTATGGAGTTCAAAATACATACATACATATGAATTCATAAGAAGAAAGTCCTTTAACATCAAAGTCGATTAATTGTTCGTGCGTGTGTTTTTGTTGTGGATTATTTTCAGTTTAATTTTGTACGAATACTGTTCCAATTTCATTTTTTTTTGCAGGTTGTTGACATACACATGCATTTTACCGAGACACCCAGGCGTGAAGTCAGTGAATCGTTATAATCACTTTTTAATCGCTGTAATCAGCAACTAAATCGTCAACGATATGTTCAAATTGTTTTTGTTAAAGAATTTTCTTCGTTCTTTGGTTTTTGTGTTAATATTTATTTGTTGGTTTTGATTAGCGTTTTGCTATTTGATTTATTAATAAATATTTATTTTTAAATAAATTTTATGTAAATTTTTCTACTTACTTGTATTCTAGCTTCATTTAATTTTGTCGTTCTCGCTAATTCTTCTCTACAATAAATATCAGGATAATGAGATTTGGCAAAAGCTGCTTCTAATTCGGCTAATTGTTCCTGAAATTTTAAAATAAGAAGAAAACATTAATTATTAATGAATAATTTGGTTTCAAATGGATGTTTCGTTTTCAGGAGAGACGCGCGAGAAGTTTATACTTTCGTTTAAACGTATTTAACAACTGAATTAAATATAGCTTTTACTAAATGAAAATTTTATATTCATGGTACTCATAGAAAACTATGTTTTATGAAAAAAGTACAAAAAATAGGTAAAATTTTCATTCCTAAACAATCGTCTGAATATCCCAAAAGTACTTAATTTATATTCCGTTTTTTTTTCGATAAGTTACGAATGAATTAAAAGTGTTATTTCCACGTTCACTAGTTTAAAAGATAAAATTAAAAAAGTACCAAAAACAGTTATTACCCCAATTAAAACTCTAATCATTCGAATTTCCAAAAAAATCTCCTTTTTTTGGATCTATTTAGCAGAAGATCGTGGGGGTAGGCATGTCAGATAGAATTATTGAAGACTGAGATCCCAAAGATATCTGAGGTCTTCAGAAAATTGATTTCAACACACATACAGATATACGGACATAGCTTAATCGACTCCGCTATCTATAAGGATCCAGAATATATGTATATACTTTATAGGATAGGAAAATATTGTGGAAATTACAAACGGAATGACAAACTTATATATAGCCTTCTCACGAAGGTGAAGGGTATAAAAAGATAAAAGTTATAGTACAGGGTCTAAATAATCCGGCGGCAAGTGTTGATCTACTCATCAAGCCAGATATTCCGAAGACGAACACGTCGGCGAAATCAGCCTCGAAGGTAAGGGTATCTCAAAAGAAGTCCTGAAAACGAGGAAGGAGAAGCTAGGCGGTGCACCACTTATACCCAAGCAGCGTACATGCTGCTTGGGTATAAGTGGTGTCATGTGTACTACTTCAACCAAGGCTTTGGAAACGTTATTAGATATTCCACCCATTGAAACATTTTTAAGATATGAGGCTGCGCTTACAGCCGAACGGCACTTTATTTTAGGCGAACTGGCCAAAAGCGGTTATAGGGCACATCATCATTGTATACTGGAAGGATATACACAATCATCGGACGTGCCTGATCGCATACCAGACACAGAATATGTTGGAAACTTTGAAACGCTTATCCCAGATAGAATGTCTTGATCAAGCGGAATATTAGAGCAAATACCAATGGGGTGAGCCTGATGTGAGCAAGACGAGAAAAAATGAGCAAGTCTAAGGTTAGTATGATGGCACGTATTCTGAGTGGACACACAGAATTACGAGCACATCTATACAAAATTGGACGTGCGGATTCAGACGAATGTAGACCATGTGTACAGGACAGTGACTAGACTAGACTATACACTAGACTATAGACTAGACTATACACTAGACTATAGACTAGACTATAGACTAGACTATAGACTAGACTATAAACTAGACTATAGACTAGACTATAGACTAGACTATAGACTAGACTATAGACTAGACTATAGACTACACTATAGACTAGACTATAGACTAGACTAGACTAGACTATAGACTAGACTATAGACTAGACTATAGACTAGACTAGACTATAGACTAGACTATAGACTAGACTATAGACTAGACTATAGACTAGACTATAGACTAGACTATAGACTAGACTGTAGACTAGAATATAGATTAGACTATAGACTGGATGTAATACCTAAGAATTTTCCAATCAGTGTTAGTCGGGAATGTCATTTCCGTAATAACATTACTTTCAAGATACTTGGATCTAACTTCGAGTCTATAGTCTAGTCTATAGTCTAGTCTAGTCTATAGTCTAATCTATAGTCTAGTCTACAGTCTAGTCTATAGTCTAGTCTAGTCTATAGTCTAGTCTAGTCTATAGTCTAGTCTATAGTCTAGTCTATAGTCTAGTCTAGTCTAGTCTATAGTCTAGTCTAGTCTATAGTCTAGTCTATAGTCTAGTCTAGTCTATAGTCTAGTCTATAGTCTAGTCTAGTCTATAGTCTAGTCTATAGTCTAGTCTATAGTCTAGTCTATAGTCTAGTCTAGTCTAGTCTATAGTCTAGTCTATAGTCTAGTCTATAGTCTAGTCTAGTCTATAGTCTAGTCTATAGTCTAGTCTAGTCTATAGTCTAGTCTATAGTCTAGTCTATAGTCTAGTCTATAGTCTAGTCTATAGTCTAGTCTATAGTCTAGTCTATAGTCTAGTCTATAGTCTAGTCTATAGTCTAGTCTATAGTCTAGTCTATAGTCTAGTCTATAGTCTAGTCTATAGTCTAGTCTATAGTCTAGTCTATAGTCTAGTCTATAGTCTAGTCTATAGTCTAGTCTATAGTCTAGTCTATAGTCTAGTCTATAGTCTAGTCTATAGTCTAGTCTATAGTCTAGTCTATAGTCTAGTCTATAGTCTAGTCTATAGTCTAGTCTATAGTCTAGTCTATAGTCTAGTCTATAGTCTAGTCTATAGTCTAGTCTATAGTCTAGTCTATAGTCTAGTCTATAGTCTAGTCTATAGTCTAGTCTATAGTCTAGTCTATAGTCTAGTCTATAGTCTAGTCTATAGTCTAGTCTATAGTCTAGTCTATAGTCTAGTCTATAGTCTAGTCTATAGTCCAGTCTATAGTCTAGTCTATAGTCTAGTCTATAGTCTAGTCTATAGTCTAGTCTATAGTCTAGTCTATAGTCTATTGTCTGGTCTATAATCTAGTCTATAGTCTAATCTATAGTCTAGTCTATAGTCTAGTCTATAGTCTAGTTTATAGTCTAGTCTATAGTCTAGTCTATAGTCTAGTCTATAGTCTAGTCTATAGTCTAGTCTATAGTCTAGTCTATAGTCTAGTCTATAGTCTAGTCTATAGTCTAGTCTATAGTCTAGTCTATAGTCTAGTCTATAGTCTAGTTTTTTTTTTTTTTTTTTTTGTATAGTGGAGGAGGAAACCTTACATAGGTCCCATAAAGGGTATGTCGGATTCCTACCGACTAAAACCACCTCCATCGTCAACACCACACTCCGCGGAACTGCCACCAGGTACTACTTCGCGGGGTGGTCAGCTTTGACGCTGAACTTCCTTAACTCTCAGAGTTCGTCTCCTAGGCCACGTTCTGGGCCTTGCGAATAATCTCTGCATCTCGCAGAGCTATATTTATTGAAGTTATGTACATGTTCACCAATGACCAGTTATGTTCTGATTTTAGAATTGCTTCTATTATATTGTCTGTCCTTATTTGTTCGCCAATGCACGATTCCAACCTGCTTCGTAGTCCAGAGAATTGTGGGCAATTAAAAACGACATGTTCTACTGTTTCATCTAGATCTGGGCATTTCGGGCATCTTGGTGAGTTGTCATGGCCAAACCGGTATAAATAGCTCCTATAGATACCATGTCCTGTAAGGAATTGCGTCAAATGGTAGTTCAGCTCACCATGGCGTCTATTTATCCATATATTGATGTCTGGGATTAGTTGAAAGGTCCATCGACCCTTACTTGTACTTTCCCATCTCCTCTGCCATTTCCTCATAGTTTTCTCCCTTTCTATCCGGCTTATTTCCACCTTTGGGATATGTGGGTTTCTAGATTTCTCTTCGTAGACAGCCGATAGTACTTTGGCTGCTAAGTCCACAGGTATTATGCCCGCTACTACATTTGCTGCTTCTGCAGAAATTGTCCTGTAACCACTACATACTCTTAGGCAGCTTCTTCTATGTATTGCAGAAATGTTTTTTCTAGATGCTTCAGATATTGCGCATTCCCAAATTGGTGCTCCATAAAGAATAACTGAGTTCGTTACCCTTGAAATTAAAATTCTTCTACTCTGTCGTGGGCCACCGATGTTTGGCATCATTCTTGCTAAGGCATTTGATACAGCTGTTGCTTTCTCACATGTATATTCTATGTGTTTCTTAAAGTTTAGGCGATCGTCAACCATTATACCTAAGTATTTAATAGATTCAGACGATTTGATTTCAGTTGTCCCCACAGTAAATGAAAGAGTCTCTCTCTTCCTCTTTCCGCTTATAAGCACTGCCTCCGTTTTATGCTCTGCAAGTTTCAGATTCATATCTTTCATCCAATTTCTAATAATTGCAATTGATTCGTTCGCATATAACTGGATTCATCCGACGGATTCTTAAGTCAAATATGCCATTGTACATAATATTCCACAGGAGTGGTCCTAGGACTGATCCTTGTGGGACACCTGATGTAATATTATACGATTCCGTACCATTGTCAGTTTCGAACCACAGTGTTCTGTTTGAGAAGTAATCCTTTATTATTGCAATAAGGTAGTCGGGGACATTAAGAGATCTTAACGAGGAAATAATGTGTTTCCATCCCGCAGAATTAAAAGCATTTTTAACGTCTAGTGTAATTATGGCACAGTAATATCTATTCTTGCCTTTTCCATTGATTGCATTCTTAGCTGTTTCAGTTACGAAATTCACTGCATCAATTGTTGATCTAGCCTTTCTAAATCCATATTGCCTATCCGATAGCCCACAGGTTTCTTCTACTGCCTTTAACAGTCTCGTATAGACAATTCGTTCCAAGCATTTGCCTAAGGTGTCGAGTAGACAGATTGGTCGGTATGATTGTGGTTCACCTAATGTTTTTCCTAGTTTTGGTATCAGAATTAGTTTTTGTTTCTTCCAGATCTCGGGGAATTTCCCCTCTCTGAGACTTCTGCTGAACAGTCTGGTAAAAATCTCTGGTCTTGATTTTAGATTTGCACAGAGGTTTATTATTTCCTCCTCTGTCACTTCTATCTCGCCTTGTTGCACGATTGAATACGGCTCTGAGTACGGTTCTCCTTCCGGGAATAGAACGGATACTATTTCTCTAATAAGGTTAGGGCATGTTATTTGGGCTGACCTCTTCCCCTTTAGCTTTGACATTACAACTCGATATGCGTTACCCCAGGGATTTGCATCGGCTTCGTTGCATAGTTCTTTAAAGCACTCGGATTTACTACGTCTAATGGCTTCTTGTAGGCCTTTCCTGGCTTCGTGATATATTTCCCTTTTAGCTATGAAGTCTGGTCTGCCTCTGCTTCTTTTGTATTTTCTCCTACTTCTCAAGCATTCGCTTCTAAGGGCTGATATATTATCATTCCACCAGTAGTTTTCTTTCCTTCTATGGTTTGATCTCTTTCTTGGCATGGACGCATCACAAGTCTAGTCTAGTCTATAGTCTAGTCTATAGTCTAGTCTATAGTCTAGTCTATAGTCTAGTCTATAGTCTAGTCTATAGTCTAGTCTATAGTCTAGTCTATAGTCTAGTCTATAGTCTAGTCTATAGTCTAGTCTATAGTCTAGGCTATAGTCTAGTCTATAGTCTAGTCTATAGTCTAGTCTATAGTCTAGTCTGCAGTCTAGTCTATAGTCTAGACTATAGTCTAGTCTATAATCCAATCTATATTCGAGTCTGGAATTCAGTATTTAGTCAAGTCGGTAGTTTAGTCTATTTTTGTTATAAGTTAGTACTCTTCTTAAATTTCAATTTTCCATGCCTGTTGTCGAGATAAGAGAGTTCTAGATAAATGTTGTTTAATGCTAATTTTGTGCAACAAATTCTTGATCATACTGTATTGTAAAGTATGGCTTAATGTTGAACTAAATTTAAAATGAAAACTTTAAAAAAGTTTTCAAAGACCACAAACTCTCACACATGTTGTAAAGTAAATAAATGTACGTATACAAAAATAACATATATAAAAACTTATACATATTAACACTCCCACTATATATAGAAAAATCCTTGTCCCTTAATACATTCCCACAAATATATGCCAAAAACACTTTCAAAAAATGTTTGTTTCTAAATAAATTACTTAAATATTTGACTGTGTAGACAACTTCTAGTTGCTACGTCGTAGCACGTAGTCGTACTTTACTTTTGGATTTGTATACAAAAAGTTTTATATTAAAATTGAACTAATTATAAAGATGCACGTTCGTGTAGTATCTTTAATGTTGTACGAACACAACATTTTCTTCAAGTTTAGTTTCATGTGGTTCAATTCTTGTTGAAATTTGTGTTTAACTTACAACTATGTACGTATGTATATGAAGATACACATATGTATTAGGGTGATCGATTATTCGACATTTGCCAAAAACCGGTTTTCGAATAGTTCGAATAGTTGACATTTAAAAAAAACCGGTTGATATTTTTCAAATTCAGAAAAAACCGGTTAACCGGTTTTTCATTATAAATAAAAAATATATTTTAATTTGAAAAACTTAATGTTTATGTTTAAATTTGATTAATAAAACATGGCCCGAAATGATTTTTAACAGTTTAAAAGACTATAACTTTAGATCTAGTCGTCTGATTTACATTATTTCTTTAATATAAAAAAATTAGGAAAAAAGTGGGACACTTCTGTTAAACATAAGGTACTATGTAATCCTGTTTAGGAAATTTGCATAGGCATTCCAACACTTCCATAAAATTTCAGCCGTAAATTAATTATTGTAATTGGAATATAATCTTAAGATTGATAACATTTTATCAAACAGTTATCAATTTTACAAATAATTTTTTTTAATTAATTAGGAAAATCAAAAAAGTTTAACCAAAGGAGCTTTAGAAAAATATACGCTAGCTCCTCGACTCGAATATTTTTAAAATTTAGGCGGGCTGTATTATTATTTACTTAAAAATTTCATTTTAATAATCTTTGAATACAAAGCAAATAAAAGTATTCGAAACCGGTTTTTAAAAAGTGAAAAAACCGGGTTATTCGATATTCGAAAAATCAACATTAAGAAAAAACCGACACTGGTAAAGCAGAAAAAACCGGTTTTAAAACCGGTTGAAAAATCGAGTCGATCACCCTAATATGTATGTATGTAAATGTGTTACTGACCTGTGTAAATGTCGTTCGATGTCTTCGTCTCGCTGGTGTGGGACATGATGCTGTGGTTGGGGTATGGCCGGCATGTTGACTTAATGATGACAAACCACTTCCTGGTGATGTCACACCGGCAGAAACAGTTGAAAGACCCGAATTAGGTTCAGGTTTCAGCTTCTTAAAGGCTCCTTCCGCTATTTTGTATGTAACATGTGTACGAAAGAGTAGAGAAACAACAAATAAATTAGTTTAAATACAATAATTCATTTTCCTAAATGTAAATGTAATTATAATGAAGCTAAATAAATAAATATTCATATAAATATGTTAATCTAACGTCAAATGATGAAAAGTGAAAATGTTTCAAGTGATAAGTGTGTATGTGTTTGTGTAAGTCGGTCTGTTTGACTATTTCACCTGAATATTATTCTAAGAAGTAATCGTTTTATTATTCATTTGGCATTTTAACGCGCTGCTTACTAGGTGACCCTGGCTAAAGGAAACATGAATTTATTAAAAATGCTGAATAATTAGTAAAAAACGTCAACCACACTGCGGCCACAAGATGAGTTTTGGTGGCCTCTGATGTTGGTCTTCGTGTTTTTTTATGCCAACAAAATATTTGACTATTTAACATTTAGCACGCAGCCATTTTGCTAAAATTAACTTCTGTACTTGTTACCATTTTTTTTTTGCTGCAGTCTTCCTTTTTAATGTCTACTCTCTAAGAAAGAAAGTTTAGCTGGCTACACGTGTATTAGTTGAAAAAAAGGTTTATTATCCTTAGTCCTGCGCAAAAGATTTGTTGACTTTTTCTTTTCACAATGGTTGGTTGGACAGACGGATGGACAGACATTCGGGTGAACAGACAGTCGAAGGTTTAAGAATGAATCTTTTACATGAATATTCAATGCAATTTGGGATAATTTATGCAAATGTTTTTCATTAATCGAGGTAACAATTTAATACAACATTCAGGTATTTAGTAAAATGTTTATAAGGTTAGCATTTTTTTGTTGCTGCTGTTGTTGGTTTTTATTTTTTTAACCTTGATTTTATGCAAATTGATATTGTTCAACAATTTAAATGGCTAAATAGCAAGAAATTTGTAATACATTCCAATTATGTGTGTAAGTACGAGCTGCTAAATAGTTGGTATTTTGGAATGGATCGTTTTGCATTTAGATGTATCATCTGCATAATTTTTTATAATTCAAAATATTTACATATCGTAAAAATTTCGAGTTAAATCGTACAATATTAATCCGTACCACATCGAATATGAACCTTAAAAATGCGTATACTTGCTAATCTTAGATACCCACCATAAAAATATTTATATAACATCGGTATTATTACACTGTGGATCACTTAAATAAGGAATTTAATTTTATCAATATCGGAAGTTTAGAAATTTTTGGACTTTTAAAGCTCATATTCGCTATAAGTTAAAAAAGTGAACGATTTTGTCTTTACCAATAATAACTTAAGAGTTTTTTATGTACCACTTAAATAGGGAATTAATAAAACTATTTAAAGAAAATATATGCGGAATCTGGCACTTCGCGTCGATAAACAGTTGTATTTTAAAATTGAAAAAAAGGGTTTTCAAATTCGTCCATTCAAATAATTTTTCGAAAACTTCAAAAGACATCACCATTGCATTACTATCTTAAAGTACAGCGCCTCCAATTTTCAAAGAATACTAAAGCTTTGTATACACACAGGTAAATTGTCAGTTCATAGTATGACCGTGTGAACATACAATTTTTGTCTTGCAACGTTGCCAGAAAAAGCATTGCCACTATATTGTAAAACAATAATATTGTCAGACATCTAAGACCTGGTCCACACTAGGAAACTTTTGTTGAGAAACTTTTTCTTAATTCTCTTTTGAAGTTTCCTTAATGTCCACACATAGAAACTTTTGTTTCAGAAACTACGTATTAATTGCATTGATTTGTTGTTGTACGAATGAGAAGAATAACAAAACAAAACAAGTTTCCGAGTACGAGAAACTCCGTACCGCGAGAGAGATGAATGATATTCTTTCTCTCTCACGCAAAATCAAAAGTTTCCCAAAAAAAGTTTCCTAGTGTGGACCGGCAGTAACAATCGTGTAAACAAATTGTCAGATAAATGTTTTCTATTGGCAACACGGTGCAGCTAAAATAAGATGTGGCAACTTTTGCCATATAACAATCTGATAACAGTGCAAACAGCAGATAAGTTTATTGTCTGGTTACGAAATTGTAAGGTTTAGACCTGGTTCACACTTGAAAACTTTTGTTGAGAAACTTCTGATTTTGTGTGTGAGAGGAAGAGATGATTGATATTTCTTTCTCTTTCTCTCACACACAAAAATCAAAAGTTTACCAGTGTGAACCAGGGCTTACAACCGTCTGAACTGACAATTTACCCGTTGCTAACAATGCATCGTGCAATACAGTATTAAAAGTCGCCATCACAATTTAACAACTAACTTGGACCCATACCGTGAACCCTCCAACATGATTATACTCCAACTTACAATGCCAGAGTTGTAAAACAGTGATTTCGTGAACAAACAAACAGTATAACTTTAAAATTATCAAGGACTATAATCTATTATCAGGGTCTTTATATGATAAAAAATGCCTAGCGGAGACTTGTTAGAAATGTATACGACTAGGGAAAGCAATTTTATACAAAGCAGGTTATAAAACTTCTCACGTACAATATAACATTATTAGATTTGAAATGCCAGATTCGGCCTATATTCCTTTAAAATATAGTAATTTCTTATCAAAGGTGATGCTTAAAAATTCTTAATTTATAAGACGTAAAGAAATAACAAACTTTATTTAGAAGAAAGAAAAACTTCGTAATATTTTACTAAATTAATACTAAGATTATGTGCTTTTGATGTCAAAAAAAATTTAATACTGTAACTAACAAAAAGTTGTTACTAATTGTTACAAATTTTTACAACAAAATTTGAAATTTGTAATGGAATACAAAAACAATTTGTGATAACACTATGTGACAAAATAAATACCTGGGAAATAATACTATTTTACATTAAGTTGGTTTCGAGTAGAACAAGAACCAGTTTTTGAAATGTGCCAAACACCTTCAAAGTCAGTAACTTAGTTGAATCTCAACCGTTTTTAAGTATTGATAACCTGGAGAATTATGTGTGCATTTCATCGGCAAACATATTTTTGATTTTAGTTTTGCACCGTTTTCCAAGTTTGGAGATGTTTTTACAAAGTATTTTATATAGGAACCGTACTATTTATATATACATTACAAAACTACATAATATGACATATTATGTCTCTTCATGTGTAAAACGCAACTTTCCTCTGTGAAATCCATTAACTATTGAAGACGTTATTGATATTTTCTTGATACAAAATTGTTCAAAAACTGATTTTCTGAATGATGCTTTCAGAAAAATAGTACCACTTTCCAGGTATTTAAATTTTCGTTAATTTTGTCTCACTGTGTAATTTAACAAATTTTTATTATTTAACAGACATAATAACTTGTTTACAAAATATTGGAGTATCAAAATTGATAAAATTAAATACCTTATGATGGGGTCTATGGACAATTATGGACTTAACTTTTAAAGAGAGAGTGATATACATATTTATTTCTAACAAGTAGAAAAGTATAGTCGGGCATGGCCGACCATATAACACCCTACACCATGAGTATATTTTAAAAAATTTTATTTTTCACAAAGAAACTTTTATGTTGAATTTTACCTTAATTCCAAAGTATTTAAGCAATTTATTAATAAAAACGAAATTTTCTAAATGGGGCTTTTATAGGAGTATAGGTCAAACATGGGCCGATCCTCATTAAATTTGGGAAAAGGATATATTTTTAAATAATAGTTAATTATGTTGAGTTTCATTGCGATACAAATGGTTACAAGTCAATTTTAGACGTTTAAGACATTTTTTGAAGGGGGGTTTGTATGGGGGCTAGGGTCAAATAAGGGGCGATCATTACGAAAATCTGCAGTGTCATTTATATTTATATAAAACTTATTTGTGCCAATTTTTAGAGAGATAATAGTATATTTGACGTAATTATGGCATAAAAAGCCCAAATCGGGAGGTACGGTTGTATGGGGGCTAGGTGAAATAATGGACCGATTTCAACCATTTTCAATATGCTTCGTCCATGTCCATGAAATACTAGAACATTTAACATAATTATGTGCTCAAAAGTCCTATTCGAGGGATCCGGTTGTATGAGGGCTAGGTGAAATAATGGACCGATTTCAACCAAAATTTTATCAAATTATCTTGAAAATTGCGACCTTAGCATGTGCAATAAATACATCAATAAAGAATATCTGCCTTATTCACAACAATTTATCAAAGGTTTATAGAACAAAGTTTGTATGAAAGTTTGTCTTATAAACCTTTGGTAAATTGTTATGAATAAGTCCCTATATCTTTAGAAAATTGAAGCCCTCTAGCTCATCCCTTTTACGCCCAATTAATAGCGTTTTCAATAGACGAACGGACATGTCTACACCGCTTTAGAATCTAATAAGTACCCAGAATATATATACTTTTGTTTGTCTACCTCCAATGTTTAGTTGTGTAACGGAATCACAAAATGCTTTTAGAAGTCCGAGTTTAGTATGGTGGCACGTATTCTGAGTGGACACTCAGATTAATGGCAAAACTGTACAAAATTGGACGAGCGGATTTTGACAAATTTAAAGCATGCGGAGAGGACTGTAAAACTCATGAACACTTTCTTTGTCATTGCCAAACTTTTCTCAAGATTAGATTCAAATATCTTGGGAGAATTTCACCTCAATTTTCTCTATTTGGCATTCCGTATAATTTTAAAGTTTTACTGTTGTATGTTTTTGCATTACGTAGAATTCGCATCTGTCAGCAAGGTCGATGCCAAGGTATATTAATTTTATAAGGTAGTGTCATCGGCGAATTCAGAATACCAAGCAATTGGTTATATTTTTTTTATATGTAGTTTGACATTGTGCCTGCACTTGAAGGCGAATTTGCTGTAAGGGAAATATTTCAAAAACAGCTGACAAATAAATCAAAGCGAATTTATATTAAACAAAAAATGTTTATAAATTTGAATCTGTTTATAATTTATTCTGATGTTTTAACTTTTAAAGATTAAAAACACAAAAATTAGGGCATATTTTATATCACACAATTTCACTTTAATCACAAAATTCCCATATACAAAATGAAACCAGTTTGACATTAACAAAATGAAAACAAATTTTGATATTTACAAAATGTAAACAAAGTTTGACATTAATTATACACCACGGCGAAAAATGAACATAATAGCAAAAAACGATCAGCTGTTCTGATAACACTACCTTATAATTAATATATCTTGGTCGATGCAATGTGGTTGATTGCTGCAAGTTACAAACACAAAAGCTTAAGATGCCTTAACGCGTTGAATGCTTAAATTGGTTTACTTTCAACATTTCTAAGCATCACAAGTTGTGCTGATTTTACTCTATACCCTACACCACTATAATGGGGAGGGTATTATGCGTTTGTGCTGATGTTGAACCTACACTCACCTTAAAGTATACCAATCTGCTCAGAATCACTTCTTGGGTCGATTAAGTTCAAAATAATTTTTTAAAATTTAGCACATACTGTTCTCTGGTTCCAATGACGAAGGCTGTTGAAAGTGATTGAAATCGGTCCATTATTTCACCTAGCCACCATAAAACCGAACGATAATAAGCCTAGATATATTTCTTCGGAAGATGTTTTTCTATAATTATCGTTTCACTGCATTTCAATTCAAAAAACCCCTTAACAAAAAGACCAACACACGCTAAAAACAGCTGTCACTAAGATCCTTAAACTAGCAAATCAAACATTAGGTTTAACACTTCAATTAAGCGATTTATTTTGAATGACTACTGACGATAAGTGCAAAATTTTCACACCTTTTACTTATACCTCTATGCCCGTATCTAAAGAACAAAGTTTCAAATTTCAACAATGTAAAAAGAAGCAAAAACAAATTTTGTAGTTTGCAAACAATTAAAAGACCTTAAATACCCAGAGTCATACAAAACATTACACAGATGATAATAATCCGGAGCGCGTGTGTACACTCAAATACTTGGTGTTCATTGATAGACCACGATAAAAGGACAAAACAATGAAACGACCAAACAAAGAGCATAATTATCCTATTGGGAGATTAACTTTCAATACAAAACACCAGCAATATAGACAAAAGGACACCTACAATAATTGTTCAAAATAAGTGAGTGAATGGTCATTTACTTGGAGACAAAGGGGTCAAAGAGAACGTGTCAAATACTTAAAGGATTAAAGAAAGGTATAAAGCAGGATAATTACCGGATATCGTATGGTCAGACAGCCTTGTTGGTGGTGTATGAGCGGGTGTATGATGATGCGACGATGTATCAATGCCAGGTGTTGGTAGTCCCGAATACAACGAACTAAAATCCTCCGGTGTACTGCTACATTTACGCTGATGATTCAGCGAGTTCTTATCGATGGAGGAGCTATGGATGGCGGGTGAACGACTATCCTGTACAGATGAGGCTAGTCCCAAAAGGCGATTTTCATGTGAGGAACTTATGCCCATGAGCCGATTATCTTGAAATGACATGAATTTGGTGTCTTGAGGCACGCCACCGTGTTGCATATTGGCGGCATGATCTTCCAGCAAACCCTGCTGCAGCCCCAATAGACCGCCCACTAAATTTGGTCTCAACTCATCCATGCTTAGTTTAGTTTGACCACAGCCGCCGGCAGCTGAGAAATTCAATTGGCGGCTAAAAATGGCAGGAAATATATTAAATTGTTGTGAATCGGCTGAAGATTGGGGACTCAGACCCAAACTAGGTGGGGCAATATGTGGCAACGAGGGGGCACTAAGGGAGGTAGGAACGGCTACAGAGGCAGCCGAATGGGTATCGTTACTATGATGGACAGCTGAAGGTGATGAATTGCCAATAGAACCGGCGGTATTAACGGTATTAGCACCGTTGGGTGTGGAACTTAAGCCGTTAGTGCCGCCAACGGAGTGCAATTGTGATTGTGAAGATACCGTCGTTGATCCAGGAGTACTTTGCTGTTGTTGCTGCTGCTGTTGTTGTTGCTGCTGTTGTTGTTGTTGCTGCTGCTGACTGGCCGCTATATGCTGCTGAAGAGCCGCTGTTGAATTCGAATGATGTGAATTTAGATGAGAATGATGATGACTGGTCGTTTGATGAGCCGCTGGATGTGTGGCAAGGCCATGCAGTGGAGCTGTCAAATGTGTTTGATGGCTGTTAGTATTGCCGACGACTCCACCACCTGAACCAGGGCCGCCGGCACAATTTTGTTGTTTGAAATCCAATTTGTGGCCGGCGTAAAATCGCGAATCGATATACGTTTTGAAAAAATCAATCGTACAATCCAACGAAACAAAAGGGGGGGCGAACAAAGTGATCTACTTACAAAATCTTTAGATTTTGTAGGTTGTGGTAATTTTTAAACTTTCTCTAAAAACTTTTGGTTATTTTAGCAGAAGCCTTTATTATTATTTTTAATTCACTTTTCTATTGTTATATGTTGTATTTGATTTTTAAATTATTTAACACTATTTTGGAGAGTTATTTCTTATTTTTTAATGAAAATTTATTATTTTATGGATTTTTTTCACTTTTGTTTCTTTAATTTATAAATAAGTGTTTTGAACTTAGATTTCTTTTAGAAATTTCTTTGATGTTTTGTTTTAAAATTTTTAAGATATTGATTTTTATAGTTTTTATTTTAGGTTTATAATTTTTTCCCAATATTTAATTTATTTAAATTTCTTTAACAATCGTACTTTTGTTAACATTTTCAGCGCCTAAAAAAAGTAAAAGAATTGTAAAAATATTATTTATAATCCGTCGGATTTTTATAATTACATAGGACAACAATTATTCCGCGGCAAAGGATTTATGTAAATCATAAATATATCATCTAGGTGTTCGAAACATGATTGTTTATACATTTATTTTGTAATTATATTTCGCTCAGTCGGATGATGTATTTGTTTATAACACACATAAAAATGACTCAGAAAAGACTTAAAAATGACTAAAATATGATTCGAAAAAGACTCTAAAACGACCAGTAATTCGACTCAAAAATGGCTAATAAAAGATTGAAAAATTAATCGGAACTAATCAAAAGAAGTGCTCATAAAAGACTCCTTTAGAAGAGTCACGGCTAGGGTACCATTTCGAAAGTATCATTTATGATCAAAAAATGAACGCATATATGATCAATTTATGTCATAAATGACTTGAATGTGATCAAAGAAGATATATACATATATGTATGTAAAAGAGGTTTAAGCTGGAGGTCCACACTACGCGTTTTCCCGTCAAAGTATTGCGTGCTTTTCATACCTTCTTTGCATCCTACGCATCAAGTTACATGCAACGCTTCTTAAGCGTCAATTTTTTGCTTTATTTATAAAGAACTTCGCGTTTTTTAAGTTTTTTATTTATATTTATACAATTTAACTCGTTTTAGTTTATTAAAATTGATACTACACATTCAAAATAGAATATAAATTGTCAAAATCAGCTGTCATGTTCGTGCGCCGCTTATGACGCTTAGATAAGTAGAAAGTAGATCTACTTTAAGCATTCTACGCGTCAAGGCATGCTATGTTTTTGTACATGTAACTTTTAGCACACAACAGCATTGATTCAACTTTTTGACAGCCGCCTAGAATGCGAAGAAGCGTATAACGCATGGTGTGGACCTCCAGCTTTAGCAAATTTTATAAATAAAGCGGTTTGCACTGTTAAAACGTCTCAAATATAGCCAAAAATAGGGTCACAATATCTCGAAAATCTGATGTGCTTGAGAAATTCATTCAATTGAGATAATTAATATCTCAATAAGAAACCTTTAAACAACTTTTATATAACTATATAATATTACACATTTTGTTAACTTTTTTTATATTTTTACAACAAATCGATTATTCGAACCCAGTTCGCACTTCGATATACTTTTTCCCGTATAAATAATCTCTTTTTTTAACAATAATTATTGGTTAGAACTTGCGACCAATTTCTAGATAAATCAAAACTGAGCAATAAATCCTTTAGTGCTGAATGGGTGTTGTCCCATTATTAATAATTTTGAATGTTAAGAAATTGTGCACTTTTAATAAATTTAAACAAAAATTGTATTAATTTTTTTATTTAAATTTAGTTTTTAAAACTTTGTTTTAAGTTTTTGTTAATTTTTTTTGGTAAAATTGTGTTAATTCCTTTATCAATTAGAATATTGTTGATTTATTACCGTCGCTTTTTGAAATCATTAAGATTTTTAAAATGTTTTTTTAGCAGTTGGATTTTCAATATTTCTTTTGTGATTTTTTTTAGAATTGAAAAATTTGAATTTTTAATGATTTATTATTTCATGAAATTTCGTTTTTAAATATTTAGTTTTTTTAGCACTTTAAATATTCTATAATTCATATAAATTTATCTTGATATTGATAATCTTTTATGGTTAAATTTTAATTAAATCCGGGGTTCCTTTTATATGTATGTGTATGTATGTATATTTATCACTTTTGTTGTTTGTTTTAATTATTGCAAAACTTTGTTATTATTATTTGCTTAATTAGTTTAAAATAATTTCAAAAATATTTTTGCACATGACTACGTTTAAAAATCACTTTAGCGTTTGGAGAATTATAACGTAGCGAACGTGTTACTACTGACGACGGCGGTTACGTTGTAAACGAGAAAAAAGCTAATAGTTTTTTTGAAATCAGCAGTATTATTTATTACGAGTAGTTAGTTGAGTAGTGGTAGTCTTGTCAATACTTTCTAATGTTTACAAATAATGAAAATTTGATTTCCGTTTAAACAGCGAGACAAAGTTTTGCATGGTTGTGTGTTGTTTGGCAAAGTTTTCATTACAGGTATTATTAGACGAGCTGGTTGGTTGTTTGGTTGGGTAGTTTGGTAACGACAAGAGTTAATTTTAATAACAAACAAATAGAAAAAAACACAACAAGCCCAACAACAATATACGCTGTGTGTGTATAAATACGATGACACCGACTGTTTGGCGAATAATGAAATTTGCGTTTTTCATTTAACTCGATCCAGCATCAACTAATGATGATAGACTGCGGCAAAGGAATACACACAACAACAACAAAAAACACAAAGTACAACAACAACACATAACCAGTTGTAAGTTCTCGACATATGCCAACTTCGGACGTGGCCCAAAACTTCGTTGTATGGACTATTGTGTCACAACGAAGGCAAATATACGAGAAAAAAACACAGGCAGCAGAATAAAAAAGTTTTCTTATAAAGCTTACGTAAACGTCGGCGTTTTAGGGTTTACGCTGCACCACGACACAGGACAAGTAAAACACAATAACAACAACAATAAATAAATAAAATAGGCGGAATGTAACACAATTAATTTGTTAAAAATCCGGTCTCGTTTGTACGTTTCGTTCTTTTTTGCACATTTGTTTTTTGTTATTGCACTTTTGGAACGTGAGCAGTTGAAAATTGTGTTGTGATACGTATACGCAGCCGATCAAATTTAAAATGATGATGAATGAATGCAGGCAAAAAACTTTTAACGAAATTAAGGATCATAAGCATTGACAAAAAAAACGTCAGCAGCGACGTAGACATAGCAGCAACATCAACCTTAACAATATTGACAAGTTTTTCGCCTAATGGTGGTAACAACCGGATTTGAACATGGTTAACTTTTCGTAAAATAAATCACCACCACCGCCAGCAGCTCATCATCTCATCTCCTGTTGCAGTACCTTGACTGGTTGGGGGTGTTAAATGTAAATTCTCCTTATATTTTATAAAATACAACAAAAACCAGAGGAACATTTATTGTTTAAAACAGACTGAAACAGGGAACACATTAAACCTCAGCTCTCTATCTTATTTACTCTTTCTTATATTTGTGTGTGTGTGTAGCTTTCTCTGCATGGAGTTGTTATCTCTTTCTAACCACCCTTAATTTAATAACAATTTGTTTTGTTTTTCCTTCGTTATTTTGCTGCCTGCTTTGTTGTAGTTGTTAAACAAGTAGTGTAGCCATCGTTTATATTGTTAATATCGTTGTTGTTGTTGCTGTTATTTTTGTACAAATACAAAATATTAAACCCCCAAAAGGAATTGAATTCATTATACTCACACTCGCACTCGCACACAACAACTGCACTTGTTTTGTCTCTTCCTCTTTTTCACATCAACAACAAGAACAAAACAAGAAACACATGATTGATAACTGTCTGCTTTTTAGACAGTTTTCAAAAGCAAATGTCAAATTTGTGTATATTTTTGCAAATGTTCATTGAGAGGGGGGAGTAGGGTAGATGTATGAATGTGTGTTAATATTTGCAATATTTAGTTTTTTCACACTTTTTTGTCAACAAAAAACTTAAAATAGAAAAAAAGAAGAAATTATGGGAAAAAAGAGAAGAATACAAGCGTAAAATACTATTGAATGTTAATATAAAATGTCTGACACACTTTTTCCGTTTGTTAGTTTTGTTTTTGTTGCTGTGTGTATATGCCACATGTTTGCAATTTAAATTTTCTTTCAATTTTATATTTATTATTTCTGTATGTAATATATTCTTCTTATCAAATTGAGAAAAATATTTTGCGGGTTAAATGGATGTTTAAGTAAAAAATATTTTTAACATCTCGTTTTAATTTTTTATTTCAATTGTTTGTGTCCAGTGAAAGTAAAAGAAATTGTGTAGATAAAACATAAATTAGCATAGTTCTCTTTAAGTTTAAAAAAAAAAAATTGTTAAATTATAATTTGAATAATGTTGCACTTGTAAAAACTACAAAAATATGTATGTATATTGTTAAGCGTTTAAAATGTGGAACATCATTTATTTTCCTATTTATTGTAGTTTTTAAAGTAGGTCGTAGCATAATTGTTTAAATATGTACTTTGTATTTTGAAGTTAAAAAAAGAATAAAGTATTTATTCAATTTTATTTATAACACTGTGATACAATTTTACATTTTTTGCGAGGACTTTCATTAAGTCAATTTTTTTATCCTTAACACTTTCCTTTAAAAAGGAGAAAAGGTTAGAAAATTGGAAACCGAAACGCCATGGTTCTATATGTATATGACCTCTAGTATAATGTGTAAATGATTCCATTTAAGTACAAAAATTGCTGTTGCATGGTTGAAGCCTTTCACAAAGGCTTACCGACCGATAAGTCTAATGTTTTCCTTTTCAAAACTGTTTCACTCGAGAATAATCGGCAACGAATGAGCGAATGGTAGTTAAGCTCGAGGTAGTTAAGCTGTATTGAAAGTATGGGTGTGAGAATCAGATAAAGCAGCTTGGTATATAGAACGGCTTCAGAGAATTCACCGAAAGCATCTTCAATAATCTTATATTTCCATCCAACGTCCACCATGCAGTGAAAAAGTTCCTGGTCGTATATACGTGTGCGGTCAGATAATTGAGATGACAACCGAAATACCAACCCAGGCGATCCTATACTCACCCAGCTGAACCAAGAAAGAGGGCAAGCGGAATAGATGCCTAGATCACTTGAAAAACTGCAACTCGAGTTCAGTTATTAGTAAGTTGTTATCTACAGTTCGATCTCTCTCCAATCCGATGAAGAAAGATGACAATGTCGCGATTCAGTTTGCCAATATCCCCATTTCCGACCCTGATGGGACACAACTCAAAACGAAGCGTTTTTCAAACTTCAAAAAGAAAACCTGCCGAGGATATACCATAGCCATGCTTTACTCATCGAGGATATACTGCGTATCTCATGGCGGAGTACAATCATCTCTAAACTCCTCTGTATGGCCAGAATGTTTATGAATTATTCGTTCTTGTGAATGGTTATTTCGACGAAATACATCAGTTCTACACTGCGCGCAGTGTCAAATTTGACAGCCTATTTACTTCCTCATCTTATGCATAGAAACAAGATCCTCAAAGCGTTAGCCGTCAGCACTTGAAGTATGGATAAAAACCTACTACATATGCTGCTACAGTGTATCACCTTCACTTAGTGATATATGTATGTACATATTGGTCACGAATAGACCGTGCCGTCCCTAATGAATTTCCGACTCGTGGTCAAGGTTCACATGATACTCACCACATATTTAACTGCTTCTTCATCCTGTTGAAGAAGCACAAGACAAGGCCTGGATATTTATACTATTAACATGAAAACACGGATCTATATTTAATTAACAGACTTACATATTTCAGTGGGCACAAGGTCCTACTGTGATAAGTTGAGAGTAAACTCTAATACATTCAACCATGAAGGAAAATCGCCGATAAATTAAAGATTAAGGTATTACAACTCCACAACACATCAAAAACCTTCAAACGATACTTCAATCATTACTCCACTCTTCCTTCCGAGATCTCATCAGATCCCTCTTGTCCATCAGGTACTAGTAACCGATGGTACATCTCACTCCAACACATACCCAATCTTTGCATTATCAGCTCAATTCCAACATTTTATTAATCCACAGCCTTGCCCTGTAGTTTGTACCGCTCCTAGTTTCTAGGACAGAAACTTATTAAACCACAGTTACTACGTGAATGCCGAAGCAACCTCAACCAACTGACCATCCAGGACACTGTCCTGCGGGCAACTGGCCACCCGTGGTACCAGATTATGGGGTGCTCTGGTTAGACCCCATGTCAAATCATACCAAGAACTATCCCAGGAAGTGTGGAAATTTCTTTAAAACTAAGTCGAGTGGAGAGGAATCTACCCTTTCTAAACAGAAGGAAAACAAACTGAACAAAGCCGGATCCTGAATTGTCTCTTTCAGCAGATCACGTTTATAAATAACACAGTAGATATAGAAAATGCGGTAAATTAAGTTACCCGATCTTTCCAAGAAGCAACTGAGGTCACCTGCAAACCCTCCATACCAAGGAGGAAAGGAAAACCACCCTGGTGGTCCCCCGAAATAGCGAAGACCCTCAAAGAATGCCGCAAATTATTCAATCAGGCCAAAAGATCAGGAGAATGGTCTTTATACAAGTCCTCCTTGAATAGGTTCAAAAATCAGGTTAGGAACGCCGAAAGCAGGTCTTGGAAGAATTTCTGCAATAATGTTGAAAACTCCTCTGACACCAGTCGCCTGCGTAAAATCCTAACAAAATCACAGACCGTTGAGAGCTTCATTCAAAAGCCTGACTGTAGATGGACAACGAGCGTACATGAATCATTAACAGAATTGATGAACACTCACTTTCCTGGTAACTCGCCTCTGGACAACTCAACGGCAAGATCAGGCACTTTTTATCAGCATCCCACCGGCTTTCAGTTCGACGAAGATGTTATTAAATGGGCAATTAACACTCTTAACCCATATAAATCTCCAGGCCCGGATGGTATCATACCTGCTGATCTACAAAACAACATAGATCTAATCACACCTTGGCTATGAACCATATATCAAGCCTGCCTCACCTGGTCCTACATACCTGACCAATGGATTAGGTGCAAAGTAATGTTCTTTCCCAAAAGTGGGAAAGTCACACACACCAAAGGTAAGGACTATAGACCGATAAGTCTATCTTCCTTTCTGCTTAAAACCTTAGAGAGAATCATTGACGTTCATATCAGAACGTCACTGAACCCGTTTCTCCTATCGCCCTCTCAACACGCATACACCAAAGGCAAATCGGTTGAGACTGCACTGCATTCTCTAGTTGGTCACATAGAGAAATCACTCGAATTTGGAGAGAACACGTTAGTGTTCAGAGCTGATAATTCTATCAGCTCTGCAAAAACTTAATGTAGATGCCTCAATCACAAGGTTTATAGGAGAACTTCTGAAACAACGGTCATCTGTTCCAATATGGGCACAGCAACGATCCACAGAAAGGTGAACAGAGGCGCACCACAAGGAGGTGTTCTCTCTCCATTATTGTGGAATGTCGCCATTAACTGTTTACTCAAGACACTGGATTCCATGAGATATAAAACTGTTGCCTATGCAGATGATGTTGTGGTAGCAGTATCAGGAATCCACTTGAATACAATATCACAGTAAATTATCATGGAAACCCAACATCATAACAAGATCTACAAAAGCCATAACGGCAATTTACATTTGCAAAAAAGCTATAGGAGCAAAATGGGGGATAAAACCCAAATTAGTGAAATGGATCTTTGAAGCGGTCATCAGGCCAATTCTGTTCTATGGAGCTACCTTTTGGTGGAAAGCACTAAATATAAACTCAAATTGTAAAATCCTTGACAAGGTTCTAAGGAAAATGTCGATCCTGATAACTGCATCGCTGGGACTTCGACGAAATCCCTATTCGTGCTACTTAATTGGATCCCGACGGACTTGTTGGCCGGTAAAATAGCACTTACGATGGCATTCAGACTGAATGCAATAAACGCATGGTCGTACAAACCATATGGACATGCTAGTATTACCGATAGGATAGGAAATCTCCCGGTAAATATTGATTACTGCGTCTCCAAGCCCTTCCTCCAGAGAAGCTTCAGTTTCATTCATATTTTCATTCCAGAATTTGGAATCAGGATTACTTTTAGAATCGGTAATGATTGTAATCCAATCCAGGCCGAAATATCGGCCATAAAAAGAACGGCAAACTGGCTCTGGTATCATAAGATATCGAACAGAGATATCCTAATCTTTACCGACAGTCAAGCTGCAATTAAGTAGGATGGCGAGACATTTAAACATCGTACTCGTATGGGTAACTGTATCGCTGACGAGCTCGCGAAGGCGGGTACGCAGTTGCCCGACTCGGACATAGACCATTTCAGCGGAACTCCGATAGGAGTATGCAAAAGACTTATGGATAACATGTTTAATGAACTCTCACAGGCAAGATGGGAAACTGAGCCAACTTGTACTCAAAAAAAGAAGATATGGCCAAAGCTTGATAAAGAGCGCACGGACCATCTTCTAAGACACAGCTGAACCCAACTCAGCAAAACTATAGCTGTCATCACTGGTCACTGTAAATTTGGTAACCACGCAATGCGACTTGGATTACCTTATAACGACTACTGCAGAAGCTGTCAAGATGAGGAAGAAGAGGAATCAATAGAACATCTTCTTTGCCACTGTCCGGCACTGGACTTCGGTATCTGGGATATCGATTTCTGGAGGACACCTCAGAATTATCAGGGACTATAATAGATAACCCGAATGCCTTTATCAGGCATTGCGGTTGGTTTGACGAGACAAACTCAAATAGCACTGATTAGTAGCTTTTTCGAGTCCGAGACTCTTTTCCGCTTATGTACTTTAATCTCTCTCTGTCTATCTTATCTCCGTCTTTCAGTATCTTCTACTACTATTAATATCCCTTAATGTCTCTTCACTATCTTACCATAACTTTCTATGTCCTCTTCCTCTTTTCTTTTAGTATATTTACAGGCATCACAAAGGGACCAAAAGGACCTACGTGTGCATCTATTGTAGCCTGAACTACCAACCAACCAAGCCGAGTAAGTAAATAGAAAGGAGATGACATATGTATGTACCACTTACAGCATGCCTGCATCAAGGGTAAATCAGTCTTATAGAAAACCCACTAAATTAAATGGAATATACATTATCTGCATTCTTAGATATAGAAAGATCTTTTAACAATATTAAACATGAATCTGTAATTAATTTCTGGAAACAATTGGAGAATTATCCAGCGGCTATCTTACCCGTTGGTTTTAGAATAACGTTAGGATCCAGTTTTGGCGCTTTAAACATTTCTAAAGTGAAGTACATACCACACTCTATATGGAAGAGTACTCTAACTTATATTCTGAAGTCACAACATAAACAATTTGCTAAAAGTAATGGACAAAGCGTAATTTACATGACGTAGCATACATCCAATACTACTCTCCTTGGTTTTGAATCTGTGCTAGAACTTCATTAAAATGGTGTCAAGATTGTAGGTTGGAAATATTGTTCACTAAAAGATATTTGCTAAATTTTGGTCTGAAGTGGAAACTGAACACTCAAGTCAGGACTAGCAAAGCGTCAACAATAGGAACTGAGACATCGGTGTTCCTCTTCCAAGGGGAAAACAACTAATTTCAGAAAATCTCTACTCTATAAACCATTGCTTTTGATGACTTGTCTGTCAAAAGGAGATTTAGGTAATATTTACGCCTTTATTAAGGCAATGAAATGGCTTAAAAGCAACGTTAATATGATGAATTAGTGTGATTATAAAACCGCATCAAAACAGGACCTATGCTTATGGCGGCAATCATATTAACCTAACCTTAAACTATAATTTTGAAAGAATGTACGGGTACTTTTGAAAGACAAAAATTGCTTAGTATTTTAAGTCCTGTTTCCTGGGCTAGAATATACCGGTGACAGACAGAGTTAAATACTTAGGTGCAATACTTGACGGGAAATTAAGATAGAGGAAAGGATTAACAAGGTACATCGGTGCCTTAGTCCTACTATGACACATTGGCTCTATAAAAGTGTAATTCTAAGATATGCTTCAATAATCTGGTGGACTTCTCTGGATATAAGTGTATTATCAAACTACTATAGGTAGTTCAGCGTACATGCTGCTTGTGTATAAGCGGAGCCATGAGCACTACGTCAACCAAGGCTCTGGAAACAATGCTACATATTCCACCCATTGAAACATATACAGTGGACGTCCACTAGTACGAATTATATAGTGTCAGGCCCTTTCGTAATACCGAAAAATTCGTATTATTGAACAACACATTTTGTATGTTTAAATTCAAATAATACACATAAAATATTGGATTTTATTTATTTTTGTTTTATTTTTCATGAAAAATTACATAACGGAACAAAATATAATAAATGTGTATTATTTTAAATAAATTTCTTGTACATAAACAGGCATAAAAGGGACATATTTACGTATATGAATTGTTAATTTTGAAAGTATCGTGAGTCCAATGGTTGAAATGAGATATATGTAGAAGGTTTTAAATTTTAATGTTTTTTAAAAGATGTGTGCCAAAGACAATTTGCAATTTACATATGTGTTCTAAAATGTATTAAAATGTTCAGATTACATAAAACTTTTATTAGAAACTTGAATGGAATATACCACAATTCTCTAATTTATAATTTTCTCTTAAAAATTAGAATAGTTATCCTTAAACCCATTGTTTGGAATGTGGAGTCACACTACTTTCAAAATTAACAGTTCATACATACATATGTATATAAATATCATTTTACTTATTAAAAAATCCATCATTTAACATCGATGTTTATTACATTGTAAAATGATTTTTACGGCTTTTTCAATAACAGCGCTTTTGAGGCTTCAATATTGTTCTCAGCAGAGTTATTGTCGGGAACTAATAAAATACTTTCCTCATTGGCGTTATCATCCAATTTAATTTCTTCTCTTGGGTCATCAAAATTCCAATAAAATAAATTAATAACACTAAATAATTGTTGATTTGTGAATATACATGCAGTAAATTGTATGTATAGGATTTTTAAAAATACAAAACACTTGTAATAAATACAAAAAAACTTCAAAATTACTGAGCTTAAGGTGAATGATTCCGAAATAATAAAATAAAAACATAATAAAAACTTCATTCATACGTAAATAAAACCAAAATTCCCATAAAAAATGCGTTATTCGTACTATCGAACAGAAAAATTGTGACTTTATTCGTACTATAGAGTAGACAATGCAACAATTTTGCCATTCGTATTATTGGATATTCGTAATAAAGAGTATACGTACTATTGGACGTCCACTGTATAAGATATGAGGCGGCACTTACAGCCGAACGGCTCATAACTTTAGACGAACTGGCCAAAAGCGGTTATAGGATGTGGCATCAATGTATACTGGACACATTGGAAGGCTATACACTATCATCGGAAGTGCCCGATCGCATACCAGAGACAAAATATGTCGGAAATTTTGAAACGCTGATCCCAGATAGAATGTCTTGGTCAAGCGGAACTTTAGAACAAATACCAGTGGAAATCCGTTGCTACACGGATGGCTCTAAATTGGGAGACATAGTGGGCTTGGGTTTTTATATTGAAGACCCAGAAACGGAAATATACCACCGTTTATCTAATCACAACACTAGCTTCCAAGCAGAAGTCACACACAAGGCTTAACATATTTACCGACAGCCAGAAGGCAATTAGGGCGATATCAGGTGATAAAGTTAAATCTAAAACCGTGTTGGATTGTAAAAAAGCTCTAACCGAATACTCTGCCAGAAGTAAGGTTCACATCATATGGGTACCAGGCCACTCGGGAGTAGTCGGCAACGAAAGAGCGAATGTAATAGCTTTAAAGGGAAGAAAACTCGAGGTAGTTAACCTGGCGAACTCAAAACCATCTGACGCAACGAGGGCAGAATTAAAATTATGGGTGAGAGAATCCCATAAGGCCCCTTGAAATAATGAAACCGTGGGTAGAACCACAAAGATCCTATGGGGTGACCCTATCGAGAGCAGGTTAGTATGATGGTACGTATTCTGAGTGGCCACACAGGATTGCGGGCACACCTACAAAAAATTACGTCCAGGAAACTGAGTTTCTGAACATCAGACGATAATACATTTAGTGAATACTATATAAGGTTTTTTTTTTACCAAAAAACATTTTCCCGATAGTGGCCTAGATGTATTTCTTCGGATTTGATGTAGATACATCCTCCTATCGGCCTAACCTAAGGTATTTAAAATGGGCAAAATCGAAATCCAAATTTTTTAAGAATCTTTCTATAACCGGCAAAAACAATCTGTTATTAGAAAAGCCACTCTTTAGAATTCTGAAGAATTCGATCCATAATTGCCCAAGATTTTTGACAGTTTTTTTGTGTTATTTTTTCTTTACGTAAATTATGTATCATCTTATTGTCAGAACATAGCATAACACTCTTAAAATTTTAAAAACCTCTCTTAGCCTATTTTCCACAAATTTTAAAAACTATAATAAAGGAAGTTTATTTTTCAATTAAATATTTTTATTTAAAAACAGCAATTCTGAATTAATATTAACAAATCAACACAACAAAATGTTAGAATCTTAAACGTTAATCCGCTGCGAAAGGATTTTGAACAGAATCCAGGAAAATAATTGTAGAAATGAGAATAAACCAAACACATACACGGCAATATACATCTCCTTACAGTTTGAAAGCCACTGTATGATATATCTTGGGGAAATTGTTATCAAACTATGAAAGTAGTACAGCTGTACTCTTCTTACACACAGTCATCTAATATAAGTTTGAATTCAACCAATCAGGATAGAGATAGATTCTCATAAAAACTATAAACATGGGGTGTGTGAATAAAGGTACTACAACGCGTCTGCGCAATGATTTAATTCTGTTTAAATGATGAAAAAGAGTGATTTTTTTTTGTGTTAGACAAGCGATGATGATGTTGATGAAGTGTATCACATGTTTGTCGAAGGAGGAACACAAGGAAAGGGAGTTCAAAAAGCTGCTCGTTGAAAACGACAGCAATAAAAAAAAACAAGAGAAGAATGTTTGCAAAAGCATTTAATGTAAATCCTTAAAACAATACGAGACCATTACTATTTGACTGTATGTTTGTAAGTGAGTATGTGTGTATGTTTCTTTGTGCATTGGGTGGGAGTATTATATGTAGAGGGGCCATTCTGTTTAATTTCTTTTTTTCTAGTTTTTTTTTTTTTTTTGCTCCATCTTAATTTGTCATTCGTTTTGTACTGTATGTTTCAACTGATGTATGGCATTTTGTTTCGTACATACATACATACATATGTAGAGTGTGTTTGTATATTTTCATTTCAGTATAATGATTGTAAATACTGTGAAGGGGCGCCTAAAGGCCCAAAAGCACTGATGCATTTACCAAAAACAACACACACACTTACACCAAAAAAAAAAAAAATACAAATTTAAGCTTGAAACAAATATTTTTATCTGAATTTCGCATTCAAAAAATGTTTTTTTTTTGTTTGGTGCAAAATATCTGTATGTAGTCGGTATGCAATGTTTTTTTTTTTTATTTTATTCTTCTTTTCAAACAAAACAAACAAATGAGCTGAAAATATTAAAGAAAGAACAAACGAAAAATATCATCAACAAAAAAAAAAACAAAACTTTTTTCTAAAGTACAACAATATAACAAAATTAAAAAATAAAGATAAATAAATTGTAAAATGAAAAAAATAAGAATAATCTACACTGATAAAAAAACGTACACAAATACGACTGTCAAAGGTGCCATTCGTATTGTACGCCAAAATCACAATAATGAGATGTTTAAGCTATCATCGAAATCTGTCGTGATACATTCATATGCACTGCCTTCAGCAATCAGCAATTTGTTAAAATTCTCTCCCCATAGTTACAGTAGGTATATTCTGATCAGTGTTGCCACAACAAATTTTTTTTTCTAACCAAAATTCGAATAAAAAATAACCAAATTAAGAAAAAAAGTAAAGAAAATTAAAATAACAAATTCATTTTCTGAAGTGGAACTTGTAACTATGTTAAATTTCGTCGCTAAACTGGTATTATGAAGACAGTTAAGAGCGTTAAAGTAATTTTCTGTAGGGGATCTTATATGAGACGTATGGTAAATTATGGACCAATTCTCATAAAATCTGACAGAGATATTTTAGTTCCTTTAAAACTTGATTATGTTGAATTTTGTTGCTATATTGCAGTACATTATGAGCTTTAAAGTCATTTTCTGAGGAGACTTTTCATGAGGGATAGAGTCAATTATATTCCGATCCTCATAAACTTTGACATATACATTTCCAAAAAAACATTTTCATATTGAATTTCATCGCTATACATGCTTTTTTAAGCAATATAGTAATTTTCTGAATAGAGCATAATATGGGGGCTAGGTGAAATTGTTGACCGATATTTCGCAAGCAAACTGGGTCAACTAAAAATATTTGGCAAAATATTTCAAAAACGTAATCTATCCAAATTATCCGACAAATTGACTAAAATTTAGAATTTAAGACGGTAAAATAAAAACAAGTATACAACATCATCTAGAAAATGTAAATAAAGAACTAAAAGTCATGGTGAGATATTTAGTAGAAGTCAAAGGTCATGAGTATCAAATCTTTGCATATATCGCGATTATTGTTCGTCGTACGAGATTAGATGTTATTACAACTTTTGTAGACAATACAATTTAATTTTCCTTAGCTGTGGTACTTAAAATATCAGTTGATTAATACTTTAAAGATATTGTGATACTATTCTTGCATCAATTTGCAGAAAATACTTTATTTATTCTTATTAAATCATTTATCTTAGAATTTCGGCAAATTAGCACAGTATCTGTTTATGCAAAATTTCAAATAGGTATATAAGTTGCAATTATACTTTAAATTAAATTTGGAGGACATAATCTACTAAGTATGTAGACTATTCCCACCAAATTCCATAAAAATCGAAATGCGAAATACAGCCTACTTCGTTTTTTCATATACAAGTACCGCGAGTTCTTTACATAAAAAGTTCCAATAGAAATATTAACGGAAGGACGGACGAGTTTGAATCGACCCAAAAAGCGATTTTAAGTTCATGGAGGCACCAAAAGGAGAGAGAGGATCCATTATTCACGGTGTAAGATTGGCTTGTGTAAATAAAATAATATTACGGTGTTGTTATGATTTAAATCAACTCATTTAATATGTGGAAAATGTATAGGTACTTTTGCTAAATCCAAAACCAATTAAGATATCGAAAAATACCTTTGCGCACATAAGTATAACCAGTAGATGTACAAATTGCAGTAATAAAAAAATTTCGAATAGTAAAAAAATTCCACATATTACCAAAATTCAAAACAGGGACGATATGTATATTTACATAGTTCATTTAAAACTAGAGATAAAAGAAGTTTTTTTTTTTTAATTTTATTTTTAGAATAAAAACAAACAGCATTTAGTTCAATTGTTTGCAAAAAATAACCAAAACGAAAAAATAATTCACATGTACACATGCAAAATAAAAATAACCAATTTTGGTTAATAATAACCGAAGTGGCAACACTGATTCTGATAATCGATGACCATATTTCCACTGTCGTACTTCCATGGGACACCATTTGAGTGACGTTTTACATAACCAAGTACGGCAATTGCAGCATTTGCCACTGAATGCGCAATATGCATATCAGCATTCTAAGAAGTAGTTGCGTTGGGTCCAAATATTTGTAAGTGCTGGTTAGAGTTGGCATTAGATATCGCCGGAGTTTGGCATTTCGCAATGTCCAACACTCTTTGCGATTGGTTACGTGCATTTCTTAGCTACAACCATGTAGTAATATTGCAGCCACAAAGCTAACCAGTCTGATTGTGTTGTTGGACGTATTGTTACATATGTAGACTGAACTTTTCGATAGATGGATCAAGAACATCTTGACTTCCTACTTTCTCATTAAAGTTTATCAGAACAATTTTAATATGATGGGGCGGGCAGCGGTCGTACGTTACATAAATGCACTCATAAGACATCACAATACCGCCCCTTTGTTCTCCTTACAAACCGGCGACAATTTTTGTACATGGTCCTGCTGATACATGGACAAGCAATGTGCTCAAGTATTCTAATCCTTCACCATTGCTGTATCTTTCTTAACTTTCGAGATGCCTCTGTTGATTCGGCAACAACTCCATAAGATGTATTGGGTAGACCGAAATACGAATCCATCAAAGCCGAGAACTTGTTCTTACTCACTGAGAACACACTGTGGTAAATCTGGTATGAACAGAGTAAACCCTGAACATACCCCGACAAGGAAGGAAAAATATCGTTACGATTACTTAAATTATGTTAGGTTAAGTATGTATACATACATCAGACTCAAAGAAATGCCACTTGGGTCCTGCGGTGCGCTCCTTTACATAATAATAGATTGGTGAGAAAAACCTATGCAGATACATATTATCATCCTATGTTTACACACAGAAAAATGATTGGTTGGAAATCGGTCACAGTTGCAATTATTTATTTACTATAAAAGAATATTAGTTGTAGTTATTAAAAAACAATACTTTCAACACATTTTATATAATTACAACTGAAAAAACAAAACTGTAATCGAACTAAGGTTCGCCTAACTATACATTCAGTTAATCTAACCAACTTGAGCTTTATAAACGGTTATTTTAATTATGTCATTTAGCAAGACCGAATTAAATATACAATTATTTGCTTCAACTGTAAATATCAGTACTTGTAATCACAATTTTGCTTACAATTTTTTATTAATGCCAAGCATTTGTTTTTAGTTGTGGCATCCACATACTTCAATTAAAAGTATAGAAAGTTCGGTTATATTAATAAAATAGAGAATAATTCGGTATTTCCAACCGAAAAAATCGATATTTATTACAATAAAATCTAATTCGGTATTTCCAATCGAATTCAATATACAAATGGTTAGTTTACTTGACATTTAAAAATATTTAGTACTAAAATAATAAAGAAATAAAAAAGAACAAACATTTACAAATAAAATAAAAAATTTAAAATAAATAGAAGTTTTGCAGATTTTTAAAAGAAATTGTAAGTAAGAATTCTTTCCATGTATGAAATATGAAATAAACATCACATGTTTAATTTCAGAACGCTGTGTGTCCATACCTACAAGCATTTTTTAAATATTGATAGTCTTAAATTTCAAAGAACACCGAAAAACCGCTGTCAAGCCTGGTGATAAGGAACAAGAGAAGAAGGCTTCGGCTACTACTTCTGCCGCTCGCAAAAAGGAAAGTGCAGCAAAGCCGGATCAAGCTAAAAGATCTGCTGCTGCTACTAAAAAACCAGTTGTCAAGAAAGCCTCTCTTACACAGAAAGTTGCCTGTAAGGCTAAGCCAAAAACTAAGAATACCAAAAAGAAGGCTGCTGCTGGTAAGAAGCACAAACTCTCCTCGAAGGCTAAGGCTGTAGCTTTGCTAAAGCCTAAAAAGGCCCAGAACAATATTATCAAGGACGCTTTAAGTACCCGTGTACGCAAAGTAAGAACAAACGTACATTTCCGCAGACCTGCGACCTCGAAAGTGGCCAGCAACCCCAAGTACCCAAGGAAGTCTGTACCCAGAAATCGCATAGACGTTATGGTAAGAAAATCGAAACTATTTCTTTTAAAAGATTTTTTAGAAAAATCCGTTGTTCTGTTTTCAGTATCTGATAACAGATAATGTTTGATACAATTTGCTCGTGCATTTGTATGAGGGCATAATTTGACCATGCAGTTAACAAAAATACAGGACGAATTTAGTAAACAAATTTCAAGATTATTTCAAACATCAAGATGTACATATTTGCATTTATTTTAAGAAAGCGGTAAACTGTATATATTAGTGCAAATTGCTTGATGATGTAGCCAATCACAAGGAAAATATAACAGCTTATCACATATCTCTGCAAAATATGTATATATTCAAGATGTATTCATATGTTCATATATGTGTAATTCAATTTATCTATAATATTTATACAATAGTAAATAAACAGTAAAAATAAACAAATAAACAAAAAAACATAAAAACATGTATTTTAATTGGTTCTTAATATTGATAGTTTCGGTTTCTATGACCGAATTGTTTTTAAAAATTAGTAGTTACGCTAACTACAATTTCCCTGGCTTCAATTGAAAATTCGGTAGTAACAACCAACCTTTGTTCTAAAAAGTAGTGTTATGGAACGAAATTTTCGATAATTACAATAAATTTTTGTGGAAGTACATGCAACCGAACAAATTCGATTGGAAACAAATTCGGTTGTGACAACGAATCTGTTTTCTCTGTGTAGAAACTAAGTTTCCTGGAATATGTTCCTTATAATTTTACAAACCATCTTCCTGAAGAATGTAATATCTGAAATACATCGATCCTAAGATAATTGGTTTAATATTTAATTTAGTATAGATGTGTCCATAATCCCGCGTGTTCACTCATACTAAGCTCGGACTTGCTCATTCTGAGGAGGTTTAGCATTCGTCATGTTAACTTTCTCAATCTGTAAAAAAATTTCTTTAACTGTAAAATATACCCAAGCAACCAACCATTCAGTCATACAACCACCATGTGTTTTATTTTTCCCATTCCATTCAAACAGAAATTAACTTTTATTTATTTAAAAAAAATGTTCTATAAAATTTTTTGGAGTAAATTTTTTTTTTGGGAACATTTGTTATTCACGACTTTTACGAGTGAGTATGGCGTCTATGAATTTGATATCTCCGCCATATTCACTTACTTCTTTTTAGAAGGAAGAAGGATAAATTTAAGGAGCGAGTATTGTATGTAAGTGGGTGATGGTGAGCTTTTTTTTTTGTAATATAATACGACTGACTACGAATGGCATCGAGTTAAATCCTCTTAATAGTATAAACAAAAGCAGCAACAACAACAACAATGCCAGAGATACATCATTGAAATAGATGTTTATAAATTATTTGTTTTAAAGTCTTTTGGATAATTCTTTTTTATATCTCTTTGTATTTATTTAAACAAAACAAAAATGGTCTCTAAAATAGCATTTTTTGTATTTCGAGGGAAAATTTAAATAAAAAATTAGAGACATGGCAAATCTTTATGGGATTTTAATTTAAAAAAACAAATACATTTTACACTTCTATTTAGTTAGTTAAACATTTGACAATGTAACATTTTGTTTCTTATAGTGTATTAAAAAACGGAATGATTAAGAAGCGATCAATCTGGAATATCCGGTTGTTAGATTTTTAAAGAGATCTACCATAATGTAGTGCAGATCATGTGAACATGACTAAGGCCAAACCAGTATTTTAATAATTATGATAAGTAAGATATTCTGGAAGATGTTGTTAAAAACAAATCCATTTTCCGGGAGTATGTTAATTTGTATGGGAACTATTTACAATGATTCTAATAATATTAAACCATATTAACCCCTGGACCACATAGCTGTTATAGTTTAAAACAAGTAAGAGTTCTACATTCGGCTGTGCCGAATCTTATATACCCTTCACCATGATGTGTACCAATTGTAAAACTGTAAGTTACCAAAAAGTCCTCTTTTATGGGTTCTCAATTAATCCGGGATCTACATGCATAATTTAATATTTCTAGGTTCAATATTATAGAAAATTCAAAAAGTACCCTTTGAAGAACGACAATGTACCAAAAGTACCCTTTTATAGGTTCTCACATAATCCAGGATCTACATGCAATTTTATGTTCTGGGTTCAATATTATAGAAATTTCAAAAAGTACCTTTTGAAGAACGGAAAAATTACCAAAAAGGGTCCTTTTATAGGTTTTCACATAATCCTGGCTCTTCATACTTAATTACATGTTTCTAGGTTCAAAAAGTGTCTTTTAAAGACTGAAAAAGTGCCAAAAATCCCATTTTATACGTTCTAACTTAATCCGGGCTCTACATGCTTAATTTCATATTTCTGGGATCAATATTATAGAATTTTCAAATAGTACCTTTTGAAGAACGAAAAAGTACCCTTTTATGGGTTCTTACCTAATCAAGGCCCTTCATGCTAAATTTTGTTTCTAGGTTCAATATTATAAAAAATTCAAAAAGTACCTTTTGTAGCCGAAAAGTACCAAAAAGTCCCCTTTTATGTGTTCTGACCCAATCCGGGCTCTACATACTTAATTTCATGTTTCTAGGTTCAATATTATAGAAATTTCAAAGAGAACCTTTTGTAGAACGAAAAAGTACCAAAAAGTCCCCTTTAATGTGTTCTCGCCTAATCCTGGCTCTACATACTTAATATCAGGTTTCTAGCCAATAACAACGTAACGTAACGTGATGTTCATTCTTTGTTTTGTGTTTATAAACAAGAAATAACAATAACAAAAAATTTACTGTGTTTTGTTGTTGTTTGTTAATTGTTTTGTATAAGCCTGCACGAAAAATGTAAATTTTTTATGAAATTTTCAGAGGTGGTCTCGGATTTTTACTCATATCTTCGTTATTTATGGGCCGATCGGGCTGATTTTAAATAGCGTTATATTTGGATCTCGCAGATATCTGGGGTCTTCTGAAAACTGATTTCAACATATACACAGACAGAGCCCCCCGGGCATGTTTCCTTGATGTCAGACCGCCTCTTGGTGTATTGCAGTCCGGAGGTGCTACCAATACCTGTAGTCTTCCGGGACTATAAATTGGTGTTGACAATTTACTGCCTGGCCTAGTCCTTGCATAAACTGGAAAGAGGTCTAACCAGAGCACCACATAATCTGGTACTACGGGTGGCCAGTTGCCCACAGGACTTGTCCTGGCTGGTCAGTTGGTTGAGGTTCCTTCGGGATCCACGTAGTGGCTGTGGTTAAAACCTAAATCGCAGGAAGGGGGTGCTTGGTTAAAAGACTGATACACGGTGAAATATGAATTTTCAAGATACATTTCTTTTATCGTTCCTAGATGCAAGGAGCGGTACAAATTACAGAGCATGACTGTGGATTAATAAAATGTTGGAATTGAGCTGATAATGCAAAGATTGGGTAAACGAAGGTGAACGATGTTTCTGATGTCTACTTTGATTCTATAAAGAGAATGGAGTGATTGATGGATTTGACGGATGTGTGATAATGATGTAACGATGAACGATGAATGTACTTCAATTGGTTGTTTCGAAATTTTGTTCCATATATAACGGTGATGATATATTTAACGGAATATCTATAGATATGAATAGGAATATTATGTTGAAAATAGATCGAATATCTTCTTTTCCTCTTGAGTAATGAAAACTATAATTTAAATGTTCAAAACTCATATATTCCCCGGTAATAATATACAACTTCACCATTTTGAATTATAACCAAATTAGTCCCTTTAAAGTCAACCAAAGTTATGTTATATTTAATCGCATAGTGAGTCCCGAGAGAATCAAACGCCATCTTCGACAAATTTGATTAGATCTGTAGCATTTGTATATTCGTTCTCAATTTGATATCTTCTATGACTTTGGATCACTTAAAAGTGTCTTTTCCTCAGATTAAGTAAAACATTAAAACATTGAACACATATTTACATATGTATATTTCAAAATAGTATTTATTTTGATTTCATAGCTTTTAAGTGAATGTTATAATATTCATAAACAAAATACTGGAAAATCGCAATTTATATTTATTAAACTCGTGTCTCAAAGTCATAATAATGGATCGTATTGACATTAAATATCCACATTATTGAAGAGAATGCACACAAGTAGATAAAAATATATATGTACATACTTATGTAAATATTTATATGAGTTCATTCGTGAGGCAACGGGTTTTATTACGCGTCATTTTGATTTTTCTTTTAATGTTTTTTAAGACTATTACTGTTTAAAAATCAAAATTTTAAGTTTTTGTTTATTTTTTAATATTTTTCTTTCATTATTGGTGAACTTTTCTCGGCAGACGCGTTACAAACCACAGTGTGTGACTTGTTTAATGAAAATACACTATTTCAACTTTTTTTGACAAATGTCTATAACGCGTTGTCGCGTACAACGCGTTTTACGCTTTTCAAACTTTCATTGTTGGTAAAATGTATTTTATTTTAGATTTTTCTTATTCTACACAAAGCAAAAAACAACCTGATCAGCTGCCGACGCGTCAAAAGTTGAAAATTGCTAAACTTTTCGCGGAAGACGCGTTACAAACTACAGTGTGTAACTTGTTAAATGAAAATACTATATTTCAACTTTTTTGACAGAAGCCTATGACGCGTACAACGCGTGTTGTGTAATTCCACCTTAAAGCGACACGGCCACACATCAAATTTGTTTGATTTAAACGGTAAGTTTTTTGATTGTGTTAGTGAAAAAACTCACATGTATATATGCGGTATGAGTTTTTTTACTAACACAATTAAAAAACTTACCGTTTGAGTCAAACAATTTGATGTGTCGCCAAGGCGCTTAATATTTTGCTAAAAATAATGCAAAATTGCAAAAACAGAGTTGTTATAATGCACATTTTTCGCCATGTTTTATTATTAATGGAAGATATTGAATGAAATAAATATAAATTAAAATGAGAAAACATATATTTGTTCCCGTATTTTGTTCTGATTAATTTTTTATCATTCATATTTATTTCTTTAAAAATAATTGTAATTTAAAAAAAAAAACATCAATTTGCATTGGTTTTTTGTGGTCCGTCGACAGTCGCTTAATTTTAATTTGTCGCTCGCTCTTTTTGTGTGGTTTGTCGACAGCGGTTCCAATTGTAATTAAGCTGTTAGGGTGGCTGACGACACAAAGTTTTTTGA